TTTTAAATTAATATTGTAAAATAGGCTTAACTTCTACTGTTTACTTTTATTAGAAACAACAAAATGATGATGTAATTCAATTGTTTTTTATTAAAATTATTCAATTATCCTATCCTTTTGTTTGGGTAAATTGCTTGACATTCAGAATTTTTTATTTTTATTAAATTCTGATAAGTAATTTTATCTAAAAACATTTAAAACATGCATTTGTTGTGTTATTTCTATTATATCATTTATTATTATTATTATAGTATGTAGATGTAAATTTTTAAATGCTATTTTTGTTGGCTTTTTTATTCTTATTGTATATTAAATTATGAATTAGGTTTATCAGAACTTTAAATATCTTTACATGCATGACATATTCTAACTGCAATCAATGAACTAGTGAATTATTTGTTTTATTATGTTGTTATAGTATCAGTAATGTCTTTGTTAATTTTTCATTTGTTAACAACTTTTTAAATTGTTAATTAAATTATAAATATTTAAGATATATTAAAGTTATAACTTTACAGTTAAAGTTTTAATTTTCTTATAAGTGTGAATGATTGTATCATCACAAAAATAATAAAAATTCAATTTTTGGACAAAATTAGTATGAGAGTATATTGTGGGTTTGATACTTTTAATTATAATTTTCACTTTCAATATGAAGCATTTTAAAGTATTTATGTGAATCGACTAATAATTATTAATTAAATATCTTATTACCAAACAATTTGTATTACATTATAAACAAATTTTTAAAAATATATTTAAAATAATTATTATTATTAATGTTTATTAACGTAGTAGGCAATAGCCTGTTACAAGCGGGATGTTTATACAATTTCTCAACTTTACATAAATTAACTTTTCGATGAACATTCCCCTTCCGTCTGTTAAAATTGGGGTGGTTGGATTTCACAATTTCTTAATTATCTACACAAATTTAGTTCTACATATATTTATATTCTAACTTATACTTCACATTTAGTATGTTCCTTTTTACACCTGTTTTAAAACACTTCAAATTTATTCAATATTCCACATACAATATCTCATTGCTTTTGCATTACAAAGATCTTATTTTCTTTATTAAATTTATATTTATGATAGCTACTTTTACTTAGTAAATTAAATTAGTTTTGTTTCTTCATTTTTGCTTTACTAAATAATATAACCAAGTGTTTATTAACTATTAGCTTTGACTGTCACTTCAAATTATCATCCAGGTTTCCGTAAAACCAATTATAATGTTAGAATCTATGAATTCCTTTAGTAAGACTTTATAATTTTCTGGCAAAGACCCTATATTCTCCAAGACCCTATTGGACAAAAATTTTTTGTCTTTATTAGTCTCTCTCATATTTTTACTACCATTTTTTCCTTTACTTTTACTTTACTATCTTCCAGTTTTACAAAGCTTTTATTACAATTATTTTCAATTACTGTTTTCTTATTTGAGGGATCTAAACTTAATTTGGTATGATTCTATTGTCAGCCCTGTTCTTTTTAGTCGTCTGTCTATTTCTAAAAGAACAATTTATTTGAATAATCTTGTTTGTATTTATATCAATTGTATATATTACATTATCCTTAATATAGTAATCATCTCTTATTAATATTTTATTTTTACTAGTTTTTTCTACTTTAATTTGATTCTGTAGTTTTTTTCTTCTGATTCTTGATCTAATACACAAATCCATTGTAATTATTATTTTTTTCTCGGTTTCATTAACAATTTTTGGTTTCAAAGTCCAAAATCTCTTGAGAACTAAATTTCTATCTTTTACAGATTCCGGAATTACTTTTATTATTAGGTTATTCTTACTATTTTTAAGTTGGACTAGTCCTTCAATTTCTATATTTTTTAGACCTAATTCTTCATTAATAAATTGTTTGATTTCTTGAGCAACGTTCCATGTTTTAACCGGAAAATTAAAAATTATTATGTTCTTATTAGTAGTTTCATTTGCCATTTTATCAAATTCGAATTCAAACATACCTTTTAACTTTTTGTTATTTTTATAATTTGACTCTGGTGCACCCAACAACAAAGCTGGACACAGGAGTGGCACAATGTCATCTTTTCAGACGAGTCCTGGTTCTGCATGCAGCATCCTGATGGCCATATACGTGTCTGGAGGCTCCGAGGAGACCGCTCGTCACCTGCTTGCATTTGATATCGGCATAGGGGCCTGCACCTGGTGTGATGATATGGGCAGCCATTGGATACATGACATGCACATCTCTAGTTTTGATCGACAATAATTTGAACGCAGATCAGTACATTTCTGACATCTTACGTCCAGTGGTTGTGCCCTATCTTCGAGGCCTGTGAAATGCCATCTTTCAACAAGATAATGCAAGACCTCATATTGCACGTCGTGTTCTGACTTTCCTCAATACAGAGGGTATTCGATTGTTGCCCTGGCCTGCACAGTCTCCAGATCTCTCACCAATTGAAAACATCTGGTCATGGGTTGCTGAGAGACTGGCTCACAACCCCTTTCCAGCTAATACAGTTGATGAAGTGTGACATAGATTTGAAGCAGCATGGAATGAGTTGCCTGTTTCTGTCATCCAAGCCCAGTTAGACTCCCTGCCTAACAGGATAAGGGCCGTTTTAGCTGCCAGGGGATGGCAACTGTCTACTAATTTCACACCCCTGTAAACCCCCAAACTGCTTGCAAATTTAATCATTTTGTCTTCATGCCATACTGTTCACATACAATAAATATCTGTTTTTTATTTGCTTTCCTTCTTGGTGTTGCAATTTTAATGGCCAGCAGTGTATTATTTTCTTCTTTTATTTTATTAACTTCAGCTTTTATTGATTGAATTTCTAAGTTTAACTGGCAAAATTTTTCCTGAATTAATTCGTATATAGATCTTAATGTATATTGTGAATCGTCAATACCTTGTTTTTCAGTTTCTCTTTCCAGTCCAAAATAATCCTGAATTTTTGAATTTCTCAGGGTCTCATTATTTCTTTCGACCTTTTCTTCAGTTTGGTATTCTTCACTTAAAATTTCTAGTAACTGCATTTTCTTTCTTCATCCTTGTGACTTTCCTTCCAAGGTCTACCCCGTCTCCTTTCTTGCATATCCAACTGACTTGACCGAAGTGGTAAACGGGGCAGAGGACCAGGATTTATTTCAATTCCGGCAAAGGAATTGAAATAAATCCGAAATAAATCCTCGAGATTAAGGAAGGTCTGTCTGTTCTTCCTTAATCTCGAAAATGGTGTTATCAATACATAGATGAAAATCAAGATCAGATTTGGAAATCTTAGGGAAAGGAGGTTCTGATTAACTTCTGGTCTAGACTGGAAGTCACGTGAATTCAATTTGAAAAGTTCCTCCCTGAATGAAGTTACATAGATGACTGGCATGACTCTTGTTAGGAAAAGTATGATATACAGGGGCAAGATATTACTAATTTGAGATCAAGAATATATATTTTAAATTTTATGAATTAAGAATGTGATTAA